CTTATTTAATTAATAATTTCAATTCTTAATGTTTACATTAACCAATGATATTTTCTGATATTTTGAATGTTTCATCATTCTCTGTCTTTTGCTTTATATATATATATATATATTAAATTAAAGTCCAGTACCACGGTTGAAACAATTCTGATAATTTATTTCGTATTGTAATATGTTTACAGAGTCTATATATTTGATATTCTCATACAAGCACTATAGATTTATATTATCTGCATAACTTCTCCATTGTCCCATCTAATATTAATGGTCCAAATGTTCACACCATAAAAATAAAAGTTTAATAAGGAGTGCCCTGTCCATCATCCACTTTTTATGCATGCACTCCATCACTGTGTCTTCTGTATAAAAAACCACCCAGTTGCATAGAGGGCATGCATAAAAAAATAAATAAATAGATAAAACAAAATGAGCACTCACAAACAAAGGGAAAGAAAGATGGACAGACAGACAGACAGACTAAAGGGTGATTTTTTTTTTAAAAGAGAGAAAAAAGAAGCCCATGTTAGTCAAACAAGTTCTTGAGTGCATTGTGTTTGCCACATGGCTGCTGAGGCAGCAGATCCTTTTGGTTTTGCCTTTGAACATTTTCTTGATCTTGAGTGATTGGTTCAAGATTGCCTAAAATCACTGCTTGCTTTTGTATGTACTCTCTTTTGTCTTGGATTAGATAATAGATAGCAATGAAAGACACTTCAGCTGTGAAAAGGAGAGTCCAAAGCCCTGAGCTTCTCTGTGTTCTCTTATGGTAGGCATTTAAACCAGTGTATATGTTGATGATCCCAACCAATGATATTAGGGTTCCAAGCATCCAATGCACCATGTACCAAAAACTTCTCTCTTTCTTTCCCCTACATATAAAAATAAAATTAAACTCTGTTTTAGTCAACCCTCCAATTGTATATTGCTAGCTAGTTGATGAACTATTTGTACCTGTGAGGCCTGAAAAATCCTATCAAGGCTTGCACCCAGATGGCACCATAAAGTGCTAGACCTAATCTTTGGTGGTTGTTGTTGAATGAGTTCTCAAAGTTTCTGAGGGACATGACAGCTCCAGCTGTGGCAAGAAGCACTGAGAGCATCTGTTTATAGATGAAAAATCAGAAGCCATCATCGTATACAATAACTGATGGATTAACATGCCTAAATTATTGTGACAGTACTGTAATTATGGGGTATGTATGGTGTAGCAGAGACAAACTGTTATATAAAATAGAAATGATGGCAAGTTTAACTTGCAAACTTAATCAAGGGGGAAGTACATAAAAAAACTGATTAGTGTTGAGTTGTAGGAGATCAATTCATGAGTTTAAGTACAAAGAGAAACACTTACTATTCTTCATGTTCAAGTAATCATACATGATTATTGGCAAATATGGCTGCATTTGTTTTTCAACTTTAAAATATAATTAAAAGGGTTAAGATATAAGTTAATAAAGAAAACAGACAGTGGACAGCATCATTAAAGTTAAAGTGGGCTATGATGATGATTGAGAACAAAGATTAAACTTGAAAGAGTATTGATCATGTAACTCAGAATTATGGTATTAATTCAGTGGTAATGGAAAATTAGTGTTCTTAGATAATATCCGAAACCGGTCTTAGAATAAAGAAAGAAATAACGAAGAGATTGCCTGTAAAATAACATGGAGATAGAAGAGAACTCTGGCCCTTGTCGTCCCACGTTCTTCTCTAACGGACATTCTGATGATAAGAATTCCAACAGGCATTAAGAACCCCATCGAAAACCATGAGAGGAGCCCATGAACTGTGACATTGGATGTCATCTGAGGACTCAACTGCAAAAGGACAACCCGAGTAGCAGAAGAAGAAATTAAGAAGAAGGTGGCCAAAAGAACAAGAAAATATTCATCCAAAAAAGGCTGAAGAGAAACAAAACTAATTTACCTTGTGAGAGTGTTCTTCTGTGCTCTTATTGTTGGGTTGGTTGCCCTCTTCATGATATGAACAGCCAACTAAGGGTAGAAGAAGAACATAACATGTAGAAATAGCCAAAGATGATAGCTTGAGAGAAGTTTGCATTCTTGTGTTTGTGAGGGTGAAACAAGGCCAAGAGAAGAAGAGAACCAAAGCCTTACTTCAATTTACTCTCTCTACACTGCTAGCTTTCAGTTTCTCATCATTATTTTGTGGCTTTTGGGATAATTTGGAGAGGGAAAAGGTTACATATATGTGTAGCTTTTCAAGGATTTGCTTTGTAGGAGACAATGTGGTATGATTAATTAGTGACTGCAAAAAAAGAGATTTACCATTGATGCTGTAATAGACATAAGATTGGTGGCATGGGGCACTTACATGGATGGTTGTTAGTGTGAGAGAGAAGATATAGATAAAGAATTAGAAAGAGAGAGAGAGAGAGAGAGAGAGGAAAAACAAAAACAAAAACAAAAACAAAAGGTGGTCTTGGAGGGTATGATTTGAACGTTAGGTGGATAAAAGTTTCAAAAACTTTCATCAAAGTGAAAGTAGGGTTGACATCGCTGGACTTTCTGGTTTTATTTACAAATTACAAAGAAAAGGGCCAAACTTTCAATCGGTGGAGAGCTTGAAGTACTTCATGGATGCATAATAGGGAAAAGAAATGCAGCTGTTTTATGTGGCAATGTAGCTAACTCAGTTGTAGCTGTTTAGCTTCATATGTATTGTCTGATTTTGCCTCGCTTGTTCCTTTGTGACATTTGGGTTTCGCGTTTAAATGTCTCTCTTAAATTTCTATACACATCCATGGGGGTTGGCTTTGGACAAAGAAAAAAACCAGTGGCAGACGAAAAGGTGATGGTGACAAAAATCACTCGCTAAGTTTCAGATATAAAATCTCACGTTCATACCAATGAAAATGATTACTTCTCGTAAAAGATGGATTTTTGGTTAATAATTCCATGGAGGAGGATAAACAAGTGACAGTTCATAATCATACCATTGCTATTGCTTTTGGGTCGTTTATAAAGAGAACAATAAGGATGGTCAATGTTTGGTAAGCAGTCATGATCAACTTTAAACAATCTGGCTATCGACTTAATCGATTTCGTTATGGTTAAACCTAAGACGCATTTGTTATCGTTAAACCTAAAATGTATGCGTCTCTTATGCCTTCAAGATGCCACAAATCTCATTCAAGGATGAGTAAATTGTTATGAGGTATAATGAATTCAGCTTTGAGTGGATTGATCCCCTACTTAAATTCCTAATCCAATTAACAAAACTACATTCTTTCAGAACACAAACGTCAACAAAGTAACCCATTGAACATTAAAATCAGGCCTAAATCGATGTATAAGCATTCAGCACCAAACAATACTCGAGAAAAAGAAACATAAAATTGAGGGTACCATTCAACGTTGAGTGCAGAAAAGGAGCAACAACCATAATTGATAGCGATTTTTGAAGTAAAAAGGGATCGTCAGAACCCCAATAGGTACTCCAACTGTTTGTTGTTCTAAGATAGTCGAATAAAATAAATATCCAAAAAACAGCAAGATTCAGAAACAGGTCCAACTCTAACCCCTCCTTTAAGCTTTTTGATCAAATAACCAAGTTACACAAACAAGTTGGGCCTCGATGCCTTGTATGTAGTCTTCAACTTCCTGGAAGGTGGCCTCACTTTCCTGAACACCAATGGGAACTTGATCTTGGAGTTATGAAATTGCTTGGTGCTTTCCCTCTTGCAAAGTTTAGCCGGGATGGTAGCAGTCTTGATGATCTGGATACAAGGAAACCTGACCCTGTGGCGAGAAGCCATTTCAATGTACATCTGCTCCACAGCTCCGTTGAGGGTTGTGTCACGGTACTCCTTGTACATGTTGTGATAACCTGTCCTGCTTTGATACCGCAGCCAAATACCATAGTTCTTGATAGTAGTTGGGTTCTTCTCAAATATCTGCAAGCAATTTCAAACAAATTGTTTATCACCAAAACCCCAAAAAAAACACACTACAAAAGGTGGATAATTGAATAAATAAACCAATGGGCAGGCAAAATTGCCTTGCAAAGAGCCAGGGGCGGCCCTTCTCACATTCAAATGCTAGACCATACAAAATAACAAATGAATTGAAAAGGTAATACACCAAATAACAATCAAAACGCCTGTAACCCTAAATACATGTACAACTGCTGCACTAAACATAATGTAGACGCAGGCCGGACAATACCTAAATGAGCAAACAGCATTAACAACAACGAAAAATAGCGAAATAAACTCTCAAGCTCCTTGAATAATAATGCCCAGACATATAATACATGAAATTGGATTTTACAAAAACTAAAGAAAGAAAATAAAAACAACACAGCGAGCAAGTATATAACATATATAGTGAGCCCACATTTCACCACCGCAAAACAACATTTGCTATAGAAGAGACTGACAAATAATCAAAATGAGCACAAAATTTATTAATTACATTAAATAAAGCATAAATAGCAAAGAGAACAAACCTCATTAATGGCAAGCACTTGGCCATTGCTCTTCTTGACCTTCTTCAGTTTCCTCAGGAAATACCTAATCCAAAAAAAATCAACCAACAAAATTAAGTTTAACCCAAAATCCAATGATGAACATTTGGGATCACAAAAGCTGAGCTCAGGGTAAAGCTTATACCAGAACTTGGACTTGGCGCGAACCTCATTGGTGGCCCAGAGCTTCATTCGGTAAATCTTAGGGTGCTCATCAGATGCCGTAGGGAGCTTCCTCCCAACAACCTGGTACTGGTGGAACTGCAACACAAAAGCGACACCGTTAATTGCAGCTCAAAACCCTAACCTCAAAATCTTCATTTCTGAAAAAGAGGGGAGAGATCTGAGAATAACGTATGCAGGCTTACCTTGAAAGTACCCATGTCTGAGAATTAGAGAAGACGACTACGATCTCCGAGGCCTCTCTCTCTCTCTCTCTTTCTCTCGCGCTCTAATATGAGAAGCGCAGACTAGGGTTTTTGTTTCGTTTATATATGAGGAGGAAACCCTAGTTTATGAAAGAAGTGATTTTGGGCTTTCTTGAAGGCCTTAAAACTCGCTATCAAAGTTTTTTAGGCTTCGTAAGCGTAAGGCCCGTTTTGTTTGTGAGTTTTGGTTTAGGCCACGTTGCAATATCCAGACAAAGCAAGTTAAAATGTGCTTCATCCGGATCCAAAGTTCTACCTCCTCATAGTAATTTCTTGATTGAAAAAACAGTTCAGAATAATTTAAAATATCGCTTTGTCAGAAAGAAAAAAAAATGATAAGTATAAACATAGAAAATTTTAGTTATAGATATATTTCAACACTGAGAAGAGAAGTACATGTTCTGTGAACGGCTAGGTATAATTATCGGCATTGTCTTTCCGAAGCCGGTTTGAAGGATGTTATATCCATAAGTCCATATTTTCCCCCCTTTTTTTCATAAGGCCAATTTGGATTTATCAAAGCATGATTTAATGAATCTGATTACAGCAGATTATCATATACAAACATTACTTCCCTTTGTATCAATTTTACTTTCTAGCTACTATAAGTATATTTACTTTAATGAATGCATTGCTTGCAAATTATGAGAGAATAGAAAACCATATGAATAGATACATACACATAATATACTGTGTCAAATACATGTACAAACAAGAGAACCCAACATTGATAATTGACAATAGGCTATAGCCATCTAACTGCCCCTTTGAATGAATGCAGGGTACAAGCACAGGTTCATTGTTCGCAAGTCCATATTTAACCTCACCAGGTGCGAGCTCCCTTCGTTGCGCCAAGAGTAACAGCAATCACAGCAAGAATTGACTGAAAATGCAAGACCATAATTCCATGAGAGCACAGCCAAGCCAATGTATGAAACCTTACTTCTTAGCAACCAAAAACATAATTCTGCAGGCAGAGTTATCCAGGATTGCAGGTCTTGCTATGAGAACATACAAGTTGATGCATGAATTAATGTCGAATGAGTCAAGTTCTCTAAATCCTTTCAAGATATCCAAAAGGACAAGACCTTTTTAGCTTCAATCAGTATCATCAAATCAGAGTCTTTCACGGTTTCTATTTATCTAGTTTATTTAAAAGCATTCATGATGCCTATCAGTACAGAGCATAGAATTAATATAAACACCATGTTCTTATCCAACATTCCAACTTTCGATAATATGCCAAACTCAGAAAAGTCATGAAGCTCATCCAAGAGTTCCCACTATGTGAATAAAATATTAACAAGAACTAGATATGTATAATGCAACTGTATCATTGGTTGTAAGTTTAAGGAACATTAAGTGATCACCATTTCGTGAACATAAAAATGTTCATATGTGGAAAATGAAACAACCAAAAGAAAAGCATTAGATATTATTCTGAGAAAACAAAAAGCATAGAAAATTACATGGAAGGAGCACTTACAGCTATTGTGCATGCTACATATCCAGGTTTTTCTCTGTAGTCCACCCGAACACAAAGTAAGATGAAAGTTCCAACATACCAGGGGATGCCTCCAAGAAAGAACCCAATTATAAACCTTCAGAAAAAGTCAAAGTGTAATCTGTCAGCAGCAGCCAGCCAGAAGAATGCTCATGGAATTATATTTTCAAGTCGAGGATTGAAAATATAATAAAAGATCATCTACAAGGTTTTCTCTTGTTATGATCCTATGATGAATTTCAGAGCTAGCATAACTCAATAAATTTTAAATTTGTAACTTGTCCAAGAAATTATCATCCCATTATAAGCTGCTTGCTGTAAGCACATATTGCATCCAACTATGTAAACTACTTAGGCACCAGTGCCAAGCACCAAGCTTGCCTTAGCCAAAGCGGTACAGGTTGATGGTGTCTCAGAACTGACAACTGGAAAACCACTGATCCATAAGCAAAACTTCTGAAAAATAGAATGCAATGGTATAATTGGCAGAAAATATAGCTAATCGAAATTCTCAAGGCTTGTTTGGGAGAGGAAAGAATATCCTGTCTTATCAAAACACAAAATCAACAATTTCATAAAGGTATTATAGTTTGACTACTTCATGTTTATACGCCTGTACCTATACAATGAATCGGTGATTACCATAACTTGTACAGTACACATGATGTTCAGACCAAAAAAACCAGCCTATTTCAGCTTCCTTTTGATCCCCTTAGCTCTCTCTTTTAATTCTTGACTAACCCTTTTCAAAATTACTATGTTTTGTACGAACTTTATGCATATCAGTATATGCAGCGGATCAAAGTTACTCAAGGTTTTCTTTACATGCCCACATGCATTATGCTATACCTACATGCTCAAGGTTTTCTTCTTAAGGTGTAGCTCAATGCCCTAAAACACAAAAACACACAAATAAATGAAGAAATAACAAAAGTAAAATAAAGATTGAATTCGATTGAATCAACTTACAATAACCAGCCGATGCCCATACCACAGCAAGGAAGGCGGCGTTCATGCACAGGTCTTCCCTCAACAACAGCATAACCTTCAAACCCCATGAACCCACATCAAAAAATAACAAAATTCAAGAATTTGAAGTGTATGTATATATATATATATATATATAATCATGAGCATGGAAAAGAAACGCGTTATCGAAAGTTTACCAGTGACCGTTTGGTATCCACGATGGTGATGATGATGATGATGATGCTGGTGATGGGGAGGCAAGGGAGGGCGGCCAGTCGAACCGGAAGGAGGAACCGGCTGCGGGAAACCGACGACCGGCTCAGGCGGTGGCGGAGGAACCGTAGGGTAGTAGTTGGCAACGCCTTGGAAGGTGCCATAGTACTGCTGGCTCTGGTTCTGGCTCTGCTGGTCGCCCGCGAGTCCTCTGGTCTTAGAATCGTCGCTCATTTTCGATCCGATTTGAGTTTTTGGGGAGGAGGGAGGAGGGAGGAGGGAGGGTTTTCAATCAGCAACAGATTGTCGGGCAGTGGTTTCAATTTCGTGGATAGCTGGCTCAGCTGCCGGCTTTGGCAGCCTGGCAGTTTTGGTAATTTTTCATTTTGCTGGACTTTGGATTTCTGTTTTCCATTTTTGGGCTCATCAATTTTGGGCCATCCAACCCACAATCTGATAAAAATCATGTGGACCAGAAAAGTCGCCATCTTGGTAAGGCTTGAACCTTAAGCAATCTCCAGATGATTGTCATTTTCAGTGGCCCAAGTGTAAATCAAGGAAGTAGACCTTTGATGGGGATAGATAGATGGATAACAACTTGACGTGAGTGCGAAAAAGAAAAAAAGAAAGGCAAGTACTCCTAAGTTCTGTTTGATAACCATTTTAATTTTAGTTTTTGTATTGGAATATAGAGGAAAATAAGAGTAAAAATATGAGCGAGTATGAGATTGAGAGAGAAAATGAGAGGACTGAGTAATAAAAATGAAAACAAAAACTTGAAAGTCACTTCTCCCTCTCATTTTCCCTCTCAGTCCTATCTCCACTCTCATTCTTACTTTCCATTCTCCTTTTTTTTTCTCTTTCTAGCACAAAAAACAAAAACTAAAAATAAAATTTTTATTAAACGGGCCCTTTAATTTTAAGTTGTTAAATACTCATTAGTAGCATACATGGGTTAAATCAGTTTATCAGAACGGCCTGTCTCTTTACATTGAAGTTTAAATTATTACTCTCATATCATTGGTCAATTAGCCAGTTGTATTGTACCGATCGCCCGGCCACTCACATCATGCAACGAACCAACACCATTTATCCCGTACCAAAGAAAACTTCATCAGTGTGCAATTACCCTTTTCGCCTAATTAATGTACACAAATGTGGTTAAAATGACATCTATCATTCATTTATGGCAACCCAAAAGTAAAAAAATACATGCAATTTACGTATGAGCAATCAACGATCCGCTTGTCGCTCATAGATATCTTGTAGGACTATAAAACATCATATCAATCAAATCAGTGCATTGTCAAAATTGTGAATACAATTCCACAAGGATCCAAATTATTTGCTCCGATTTTCTGTCATGGTCTGCTTTATTTTTGTTCTCCATATATTACCTCATTTTATTTACAAATTTATAAATAAACCCAATCCTAGACATGTATTTATAAAAAAATCCAAGCACTATTTAAACATAGAAACACACCCAAAATCAACTTCAAAGTCAACTTTTTGGGTGTGTTTATAAATGGGTTTTGAGTGTGTGTAATGATGGGTTTTAGGTGTGTTTATATGTTTAAATAGTGTTTGGGTTTTTTTATAATTTCAACCCCCATTTTGGGTGTTTTAGTGAAACTCCCTAAAATTTAATCTAAGTTATATAAATTGGACACATGGACTGTAAAATAAAAATCTAATTTAATTATAATTAAAAATGATTTAAAAACCCTAACTTGACTAACACCTAAACTTAATGTCTCTGGAAGTTTTTTTTTTTTTTCCTTCTTCCTCCTCTGCACATCTGCATTGCTCATCAATCTTTTCTTTCTCCAATCTTAGAACACAAAAACATTCTTACCAAGAAGAGTATGAACATAACAAGAATCCTATGACACATCGAATAAGAACCTCCAAGGGCATAGGAAAATAAATCATTAAAGTTTACTCAAACAATAGAAAACTTGGAGTGAGAAAGCGCATAAGTCATGTAAAGAAAATATAGAAGTAGCACACTCTACGTTTTCAAAAAAGAAAAAAATATAGAAGTAACATGATAATGAAATATGCAACATTTATCGTCAAGTTTAATAAAACCAAATGTAAAATATAAATGAAATGCTAGAGAAAATTATTTTGATTTATAATATATTAAATATAATTCCATCAAATTACTTAAAATATTCATAACTTTCTTAATGACAATTATTGAATGATCAAAATAAGCATGAAACTAACTAGATTAGATTGGATCCTCACAAGCAAATTCATCATCCAATCCAATCATGTCGGTTTTGGAAATTAGGGATTCAATACAATCCGTCAAATCATCGAAACCGATTAAAATTGAATTGGATTGGATTTTGTACACCTAAGGAGGAGAGAGAGAGAGAGAGAGAGAGAGAGAGAGAGATAAAAACTGTATATAAAAAAACCTAACTGTTTTTGTTTTCAATAATTGGAGTGTGAGTTTTTTTATATGAATTTCTAAAAAGGGGCCTATCAAACGGATTTTTTGATCTTTGGACATAAAATATGTTTTTGAATTTGTAAAATTGAATCCAAGCCTTTAACTTTTTAAACATGCACCCAAAAAATATATATATTTGAAAATAACATCGACATCGTGGACAACTTGAACACAAGCATAATCTTCTTGTCCAGGAGAAAAAAAAGAAGAGAAAAATACAAATTTTATTTATCATCACGTAGGTCATTGCAAATGATGTTGTGACAGCAATGTTTAACTTTTGAAAATCAGATTAATCTAAATCCATGTTAGGGGCCACTTAAACATCATCATTCATCACCCACGTTTTTATGTATTTAATTTCTCTTATAAAATCATTTTCAGTTTGTTCAGTCAAATATTGTAACAGCACCTCCAACTATATTAAACTAGAACTTCAAAAATCAATGCAGAATTTTTTATGTTAGCCGTCTAAGCATTAGCTAAAATGTGCTTTGCCTACTGGCTGATTAGCAGACTTTACCAGAATTTTTCATCCATCGTGGCATGCCTTGAAATCTGTCAAGGAGAAGAAGACTTCCTCTGCTAATCAGCCAGTAGGCAAAGCACACCCTAAACACCGGATCTAAACCAATCAAATCTTGTTGTTATGCTGCAAAAATCAATCTAATAATATGTATCGATTATCACAGAGTCAAAAACTCTGATTGGTGAATTATAAGATATGGTGCAGTTGGTAAACTGTCATATTTAGTTGGTAAGCTATCTAGTGCCTCAATGACAGGGGTTCGAAATTCATTGAAAGCACTTTGTGAACAGAGATAAGCCGAAACCCCAAACGGAGATTAATCATACTATTCAAGTGTGAGGACATCTCGTGATATTTACTAAAATAAAAAATTCTGATTGGTGCTAAGTTGATTCATTGAAACCATGAAAAGCCCACTAGCTTAGCTTAGCGTAGGGTCTAGCTAGCTCAAGCTTGTAATAAGAGCTTAAACTACACATGGCATTCATGCACAAATCTTTCACTGCTCTCCCTTTCTCCCATTACCCCCAAACCTAAATCATAAAAGCGTTCACTTGTCGATGCAATAGGCAGCAGCTAGCCCATAGGCAGGGGGTAACTTTCAATTGCGATCTGCCCAGAGTCATAAGAAGTTTGACTTGACCTTATACCGTGACCGTGTCCAAAATAAACACGCATTATCATGTGTTTTAACTTTTTACAAAAATATAAACTATTCAACATGTTTACGGTGATGGTAAGTAGAATATGAAAACCACATTATTGAGTCAATTTAAATATTATAATATAGGTCGACGATATAGTATTAAAGTAAATACATTTTATTATGTCACGAATAAATTGAGAACAGATTTAATTAAAAGTCCTTGTTAAACTTGTCTTCCTGCACAACTTGCCAACTATCACACTTGCATCTGCATGGGCAGCCAAGCCAGCCAATCACAATTCATAACCAGAAAAACACCCATAAAATAACATTAAAAGGGATTATCTTCTTGATAAATTCCTCAAGTATCCCAACAGTACTAGTGTGGCCCTCCATCTCTTCTCATCTAAGATCTATGCACCCCCACAATCGACATCTCCAAAAAAATATTAAAATGAAGCAACGACAACGAGGGTACTTTCGACTTTTCAATCAAGGTAATTACAGGGAAGGGAATCGTGTGCACCGTTGGGACAAGAAAACCTTGCAATCGTCTTTGGGGCAGATGGTGGGGACAAACTCGATGTCATCGCAGCCGTCCGTCCTGTGCCTCTTGAAATTGATCAACGTACAGAACATGGCGATGAAGAGGACGAGATGATTCAAAGCGTACCTCTGGCCCACACACTGGTGGGCCCCGGCCCCGAACGCCAAGTAATTCCTCTTGTAAATCCGGTCCTCCTGCCTCTCGTCGGAAAACCGGTCCGGGTCGAAGCTCTCCGGATCACTGAATCCCTGAAAGCATGACTCGTAAGCCGAAGGGAACACAATGGTGCCCTTCGGGATCGTGTACGTCTCGGTCAACGGAAAGTCAACCGCGGCAATGTGCGGGACCATAGTCGCCGGAGCTCTGTACCTCACGACCTCACGCCCCACTGCGTGCGTGTACTTCATTCGCGAGAGCTGCTCCCCCGTGATCAGACTGTCCGACTCCGGAGACCAAATTCCAGCTACCTCTTCCCGGACCTTCTCCAAAACCTCAGGGTGCGAGTCGAGCAGACTCACCGCCCACAGTAACGAAGACGTGGAAGCGTCCTGAGCCGCGAAGAGGAAGTCGAAGAGGTGCGCCCCGATCTCGACTTCGCTGACGACTGCCGGTTCGGGGGAACTGGCCTGAGCTGCATTTCGGAGCTCCTGAACCGTTTCGTGCATCCAGAAGTCGATGAGACAAGTAGGCTCGGAATTTGCAATCTCCATTCTGGCCTTGCTCCGTTCGGCGCAAACGGAGAGCGTTTCGACCAGGCGTCTCACGGCTAGCCTCGCGTTTCGAAACGCGGTGCCGGGAAGGTCGATCGGCGGGGCCCAGGTAAGGCCCGACGAAGACGGTCTGAGAAGTCTCGAGGTTCATGTCGCGGACGAGAAACCGGAGGGTGATCGGGTCGGGTAGGGCCTGTGAGGAGAGTCGGAGCCAGTTTTGCAAGTGGTGGAGGATGATGATCTGCTGCAAGGCGGTGTAGGTTGAGAGGGCCTTAGGGGTGAAGTTGGGGGCGATACGACGTCGTAGGTCCTTGTGTTCTTGGCCGGTCATGTAAATGAGGTTGTGGTCGCCGAAGAGCTTCTTGCCGAAGGGGTGGCCTACGAGGGCGAAGGCGTCGGGGCGGACGTTGGCGAATATTTTGTGGGAGAGATGGGTGTCTCGGATGAAGAGGATGAATTTTCCGATGACGTAGTTAGAGGAGAAGCCGAGTGGGGATGACTTGGCTAGAGCGGATTGGCGGTCCCAGAAGCAGGTCGGGTTGCGGACCAGTAAGATTGCGTTGCCGAGGAATGGGAGGACGACGGGTGGGCCCGGCGCGGTGCGTTTTTTGGTGAGGTAAGATATTTGTTCGAGGAGGAGGAGGAAGAGGAGAAGGGAGAGGAGGTAGGGGGTGAGCGGAAGGAGTGAAGTGATCATCATCTTGTTCAAGAGGGAGCTCATTTTCTTTGCTTGAGGGCTTTTCTGTGTATGTGTGGGAGTGGATATATATGTAGAAAGGAAGGGGAGTCTAAGAAGAAAAGGTTTGGGTACGAAGGGACAGCATTTTCTTCTTGATTATGGGACTCTGACTCATTTCTGAGAGAGAGAGAGAGAGAGAGAGAGAGAGAGAGGTGTGTTGTTGTTACAGTTATTAAGCTTGGACGGCGGAGTAGGGGGAAAGTGGGGGCTGATGTCCAGCTGTAACTGAGTAGCTGACGTTATCTCCAGTGATAGGGCTAAATGTAGCTTAGAGTTATAAATAAAATTTCACAAGAAATGCTAACGGGCACTCCAGCAGTTGATGCAATAAAGGTTCAACCGTTACAACTCGCTTGTGAGCTACTGATTCAAATATAACTCAATCTCAACCTATGAATATGATTGATAACAATAAAACAACAAATTATGCAAAAGTATTTATTTGTTTAAGAAGGAAATTGCGAAAACTGAATAGGAAATGAATACTAGTTGAAAACGTAATTGGTTGTACACCACTTTGTTTGTATAAAATAAGGGAGTTTCACTAAAACACCCAAAATGGAGGTTGAAATTATAAAAAAACCCAACACCCAAAACACTTTATAAACACACCCAAAACCCATCATTACACACACTTAAAACCCATTTATAAACACACCCAAAAAGTTGACTTTGGGGTTGATTTTGGGTGTGTTTCTATGTTTAAATAGTGCTTAGGTTTTTTTATAAATACATGTCTAGGATTGGGTTTATTTATAAATTTGTAATAAAATAACGAGACACCCCCATGCACTGACAGGAGAAGAAGACAACGCAAAAACAGAAAACAAAAATGCGTGGGAAATTTAAAAAGGCAACTGTCTTTTCCCATCTACGAGAAAATTGGCTTCTCCAAAGTCAAGTGCAAACCCAAGGTCCAAAGTGGTGTGTTACAAAGTTGAATCAAAACCGAACGAAAGATCATCAACCAAAACCGGATCAAGTACAGGATAAAAAGGATCTGTTATTATCAGGTACATTAAAGAAGTAAGTTTTCCAGAGAAATGATAATGTGCTGATCATCGGTCCTCCCATCACGACACAATGCTAATAGGCCAAATGTGTCTTTCCAGCTAGCTTTGAGAGTATTGTTTTGAGATGTGATCATGCATCAAAGAACGATGTCACATCAATTTTGCAGCAAATTGAATATCATACGTATTTTAGGTACTACTCTTTCAATACTATATTCTTTCCCTCTATTATCATTGATGATGTTGGTGATGGCGATAAGAGTGAAGAAATTGTGTTTGTAATTTATGCGTATAGGTGTAGGTATATTAATTTACCTATCTAGAGGCATAGGTTGCTAAGAAAAAAATGTAGGTAAATTCATGTACCTAATTTCAAACCATAACAATTATTAAATTTGAAAATTGGTATAAATAAAAGGAAATAAATAAGCTATTGCGTTGAAATCCTTGGAATCTATACAAATTGAAACACAATTAATCGGCATTGAATTGCAGCTAATTTCTTAACCAAATCACGTTAAAAATGTAATCAAGGGTATTCTAGGAATTTTAAAAATATAACATTTAACACATAAAGCTTGATTAGGAAACTTGATAAGTTGGATCCTAGTTATCGGGCTTTATTTATAGAAAAATAAAATGATGGGTTGTAGGTAAGAAATTATTAATTTGAAGGGGAATAGTCAAATTTACTAGATTTAAAAAGTATAGCCTTGATGAAGCAGGGAATTTGCATGTATAGCACAATGCAAAAATTCCTAAATATGATACACTTATGAATTTTAAATAGTGCAGTCGAATGACTATACTGTTAAAATATACGAATATTTAAAAATTATATCCGCGCAATTATACTCTTCAAAATATTCAATATTTTAATAATATAACCACGCGGCTATACTCTTTAAAAGTATTCTTTAAACATATTCAAATATTTAAATCGGTGTCAATCCTTCTCTCTCTTGTCCCACAAGGACAAGATTTGTGTGTATAAGTCTGATGGGACAAGATTTGTGTGTATAAGTCTGAATTAAACAAGAGAGCAAAATCGTAAGACGCTTTCTCTCTCTTGTCCCACAAGGACAAGATTTGTGTGTATAAGTCTGAATTAAACAAGACAAGATTTGTATGTATAAGTCTGAATTAAACAAGAGAGCAAAATCGTAAGATGCTTTCTCTCTCTTGTCCCACAAGGACAAGATTTGTGTGTATAAGTCTGAATTAAACAAGAGAGCAAAATCATAAGACGCTTATAGTTGTAATAGTTAAAAGTAGTTACTCATGCATATTCCCCCATTCTCATTTTCGCTTGTGTCAAAAACAGAGAGCAAAAGAGACAATTGGAGAAATGGCACAAATCCAAGTCTCGACAATCACTTTTGATTGAATACCAAGCAAATGGCAATTTCCAAAGAGTTAACTTAAACAAAACTTTCTCGCCTAACATTTTAATGGGTAAATTGAAGAAATGATGCGAAATGTATTGTTTGGAAAAAAAGGTAGGAATATTAACTAAATACCAAATTCAATTGATTGATTTCAAACATCAATTGAAGGTGATTTAGAAAGAACATTTTAGTGCAAAGATTGAACGAGCATCTACAAGTCAAGGAAATTGACACGAAAGGCAAGTCCATAAACGTGCCATAAAATAGCTCATTGTAGACCACATTAACATAGTACGGATAACAAACAAAAACTTCAAGAGTCTCATCAACTCTTTCTAAATTAATTGAAAATATAAATCTTTTGCAAACACAGTCAAAAGCTAGTCTCAAAACTGAAAGTAACAGCTCCTAGTTTCAGAGACCCATAATCCAGCAACCACCATGACATACAGGTCTGACCAGATAAGAAGTGCAGGCTTTACAGCCTCCTTCCTCTTCGGCCACCCTTTCTACGGGTGCTATCAGTAGGAATTGGAGTCACATCCTCTGAAATAAGAAATTAAAAACAGAAAAGTCAGCATTCCAAATCCATAAATAACACAAGAACAAGTCTAATAGCGGCAAAAAATAATAATAATCATGTTACGGAAGAAATGTATACAATTTTTTTTTGTAGAATTATAATAAAATCATCTTCAAACATCGGCTAGAATAAACATTCAAAAACTCGCTTCTGCATTTTTTTTTGGATCTTTAGGTGTGAAATATTGACAACCAGACTTCGGAATTACCCTACATACACTAAACAAAGCTCTAATTATAAAGATCATGCCACTAAGAATTTGTATAACAGAAATACTATACATTGGTAATACTTTCAGGGATGCATGCATGATATGGTAAACATACTATAAGAATATGTTCAGTAGATACAAGATTTGTAAACTTACGTAATATGATAAGTTTTTCAAGAAAAAAAGTGTATACCTATACGACCAATTCTCATTCCAGAACGAGCAAGGGCACGGAGGGCAGACTGGGCACCTGGACCAGGTGTTTTGGTTTTGTTACCACCAGTAGCACGGAGCTTGATATGAAGAGCAGTAATACCTAATTCCTGCTTTATCAAAAGTTACACTTATGAAGCAACAGCAGAAGGAAATCAAAATAATAATACTGCACTGCAGCTTGTAATAATGCACACAACATCCAAGTTCCAAGAAAACGGCAAAAATTAATTGCTTTATAAGAAATGTTTGGTTATTTATTTCAACAAAAGAAAAAAAGAAATCAAACGCAAAGAACATGCATACAAACTATATATTGAAATTAGACCAAGACCTTGCATCTCTGTGCAACATCCTGTGCTGCAAGCATAGCTGCATATGGTGAAGACTCATCTCTGTCAGCTTTCACCTTCATACCACCTGCATGAAAAGAAGGGAGATATTATGAAATCAAACATAACACTTAACATCTAAACATAGTGGATCACCTAGAACATAAGACTGAATTTTGTTTTCTTCACACTATAGAATCCAGTTCATAGATGTCACATCCAGCAACCAACAGAATGACTGAGAACACTACTTACAAATAACGAACTAAAGAATTCAAAATTCGTCATGCTCCAATTAGGTATACTACGACCTTATGTGTATAAACTTATAAAACTACCAAAAACTTCCCAACATGAGCCTATGGTGTCCAAAAAAGAAAAGCAAATGTAGCAAATCTTAATTCTAGAAAACCAAAATTCCTTACCAGTGATGCGCACCAAGGTTTCTCGTCCTGACAGATCTGTCACATGCTGAAAATCAAACAAGAAACCAACATTACAAATAAAAGTAAAAGCGGAATAAATTATACACATCATACCTAGCGAAAGATAAGTTCACTTACAATGAATGTATCATTAAATGACGCAAAAATGTGTGCCACACCAAAGGCATATTCTCCATCCTTGAGGGTAGGACCAAGAGTAACGTTTTCTTCCTTTGGTTCCCTAACCTTCCTCCTCGACTGTAGCAATCATAAATTCAAAAAAAAAAGTCAAAATCAGGAAGAACTAGCTCTACCATTGATTAAAAAAACAAAAACAAAAACTTGAACCATCCACTACCCAATAACTATTCCTATTATCCGACCAAAAAATCTATTCCTACTACTGAAAAACGAATTCTGCACAGCTAGCTGTTTCATGAACTTAATCAAAATATGAATTCTTCATACTTCTCAAGTGCTACAGGTGAAACAAAACCAAGTGCTTTTTTCACACAAAAATGTCATAACTTGAAAAAATCATGCTAAATCCACTAACATGAAATAATCATACTAAATTCTCTGCATCATAACAAACGCTTAGAAATTGACACAAAGCTAAGTAAGCACACATATTGACTCTAACTCAAGTAAAATACCACATTACGGTAATAAAACAAATTTGGATAATTTATTCACCAATTGGGTATATGACCCTCAGACTGTGACTAATCTGAATTTGGCACAAGGGCTTTCTTTCCGATAAGAGCAGTGACCAGATAATCATATTTTTAAGAACCAAAATAAAAAAGAAATGCAATTTTCCATTTGCAAAGTTAGCGAAAAGGTGATGCATTTCAAAGGCAAGTTAAATCTCAATTTCCACACAAAATGATACCAAAATATACAAGGTTTCTGGATCTGAAACCCTAGCAGCTAAACG